ATAGGGACGTGCCATAGGGACACACAGTAGGGATACACCATGAGGATGTGCCGTGGGGACACAGCACTGGGACTTAGGATGAGAACACAGCAGGAGGACGCACGTAACACCATGGGGACACACAGCGAGGATGCGCCGTAGGGACGCGGCATGGGGACGCAAAGCGGGGACGCGTCCCCTCCAGCCCCGTGTCCCCGTGTCCCCCCAGGTTCTCGGTGAAGACGCTGCTGGAGAAGCACACTGCTGAGCCCATCGACGACTCCTCCGAGGAGTTCGTCAACTTCGCCGCCATCCTCGAGCAGATCCTCAGCCACCGCTTCAAAGGTACGGCGGGGGCCTCCCCATCCCCCCCCTCCATCCCCTTCCTGTCCCCCCATGTCCCAGATGAGGACACGAGCTCCCAGCGCCGTCCCCAGGCCCCGTCAGCTGGTTCAGCTCAGATGGGCAGCGTGGCTTCTGGGATTACATCCGCCTGGCCTGCAGCAAGGTGCCCAACAACTGCGTCAGCAGCATCGAGAGCATGGAGAACATCAGCACCTCCAGGGCCAAGGTCAGGGGGAGCCCCTCCATCCCCGGCCCTGAGCCACCCCCGTCTCCATCCCCATTCCCAGCTCCCATCCCTGGCCCCACTGCCATCCAGGACGCTGCCAGCCCTGGCCCACAGCCCCCTCCTTATCCCCTGTCTCTGTCTCTGTTCCCATCCTCCCTCCAGCTTCATCCCCATCCCACCCCACTGACCACTCCATCGCCATCCACTGCCCATCCCATCCCCACCCATGTTCCCCTCCTTGTTCCCATCTTCCCACCCTATTTCCATCCCAAACGCCATCCGTATCCCCTGCCCCATTCCCGTCCTCCCTCTGCCTTCATCTCCATCCCCATCCCTGTCCCTGTCCACATCCCTTTTCCATCTTCATTTTCTCCCCATCCATGTCCCCATCCTCCACCCCCATTGCCATCCCCAGCCCCGTCCATGTTTCCAACCTTGTTCCCATCCTCTCCCCTATTTCCACCCTCATCCCCATCCACGTCCCCACCCCCCTCCCCATCGCCATACCCAGCCCTCTCCCTGTCCCCAATTCCCATTCCCATCCTCTCTTTCTCCCCATCCCCGTCCCCCCATCTCACCCCCACCCCGCAGCCCGAGCACAGCCACACCATTCCCAGGCAGGGTTCCATGGGGGGTGGGATGGGGCTCCCGTGGCACAGGGGGACGAGGCACGGCGGTGCCATGGGGCGGGATGGAGGTGGCACAGCACTGTGAGCCCCATTGCAGGGCCGGGCGTGGATCCGCGTGGCGCTGATGGAGAAGCGCATTTCTGACTACATCACCACGGCACTGCGGGACTCACGGACCACCAGGTGAGCTTCGATCCCTTC